AGTGTAACCCAGTTCCTCGACCCACATGCAGAGAGGAAGAGGAGGGGTGGCAGCCAGGGGCAGCCCAGACCCAGCCTCTGTTGGCTGGTTGCCATTCTCTCCCTCAGTGGATCCAGATCCCAGGCTGATCAGCTGGTACACCAGGTAAGCTGTGCTCCCTGGAGCCTCCAGAGCCCCGTGCCAGCCCCTGGGCTCTCACCTGTGTAGAAGCACAGCAGCCAGGTGCCCAGCAGCGGGGCGAAGGTCTGGCCTGGCTTGGTCACCAAGGCCACCATGCCAAAGAGAAGCGCTGAGGCCGCCTGCTTGCGGTGGTTCAGCACCAGGTCCTCGTCCACCAGGTCAGTGACCACCAAGGTCAACAGCTTACAGGTGCCCTCAGTGAAGACACGGTTGCTGCCGGCGGAGAGAGAGCAGACAAAAATGAAGGGGTGGGACAGAGATGTGAGGATGAAGGAGGGCAGGGCATACCTGGCAATGAAGAGGCAGAGCAGGCCAGGGCGGTCGGGGCCAGCGCACAGCATGAGCAGGCTCAGGCCCAGCTTGAGCAGGAAGAGCCCGTGCACCACAGCGTAGACGCCCCAGCGCCGGCACAGGGGCAGGAAGTAGAGATTGTTGAGATGCGGAGCGACATAGGAGATGCCTGGGGAAGGGGGTGCGGCCTCGTCAGGGGGCACTGCCACAACCTCCACAACTGCCCACGGTTAGCCATCGGAATCAGAGTTTGCACTGACCCAACACTAACGAGGTTCAGGCTCTGTGCTAAGAGCTTCACACCCTTTTATTTAGTCCTCACGACCCTTTAAGGTAAGTACTATTATTATTCCTACTTTACAGAGAAGTGGAGGCCCAAAGAGATGAAATAAAACACACCCACACAGTGAATAAGCACGGTCAAGACACACACCCAGGCCTGTCAGGACAGTCGTCCTCCCTGTGAACCGGCCACTCTGCCACTTCACCTCTGGGTGTCACCGCCACCCAGAGGACCACCATGAGGGCAGCCCTACCCACTCAAAGCCACAGAGGCAGGCTCCCTCCCTCTGGAAAACAGAGCCGGGGGCTGGAGGTGCAACCCCAGCACGGATTCTGCCCTCTGCCACCTGGGCCCCAGCTGGGGAGGCGGCTGTGCCTACAGCCGGGCTAGGGGTTCTGGGGTGCAAGCCTTTGTCCTTCCGGCCTGCCCGGGGCACCCACTCACCCAACAGGAAGGAGCCTGTGGAGAGGGAGATGTGGTCTGACAACAGATGCTCCAGGAAGAGGGGGAAGAAGTTGCTGTTGAAGTGGCAGTGAAAGACCTGCAACCAACAGGGACAGTGAGGAGGCCAGGAAGAGGGCAGAAGCCAGCAGGTGGGGCAGCAGGACCAAGAGCGGCCTCCACCCCTGTGCCCCTCGGCGTGGAACATGCCAGAACAAAACCTGAAACCGGGGCTTCCCTGGTGGCGCAGTGGTTGGGAGTCCACCTGCCGATGCAGGGGACATGGGTTCGTGCCCCGGTCCGGGAAGATCCCACATGCCGCGGAGCGGCTGGGCCCGTTAGCCATGGCCGCTGAGCCTGCGCGTCCAGAGCCTGTGCTCCGCAACGGGAGAGGCCACAGCAGTGAGAGACCCGCACACCGCAAAAAACAACAACAACAACAAAACCTGAAACCAACTTCCTATGCTCATCCAAGTTTTCTAAAAGTTAGAAGGAATGACAAAATTGTCATTAGAACAATTAAAAGCTTTTCCTCTTATAAAACCTATCAATGCTAAAACAAGCTAAATGACACAAAAACAATCTATTTCTAAATTTGGTTGGCTTATATACTACATATGTTTTAGGTATGGCATTTTTTGTTTTAAAAGTCTCCAAAGGGGCACCTCTTTTTCATATCCTCACTTTACAGGTGAGGACACGGCTGCCCCGAGAGGCTGAGACAAGCCTAAGATGACGCAGAGAGCTAGGAGCTCAGATGCTGCTAGAATCCAGGTATCTAACAACCCAACTTGTGCTCCTGCCATTTAATGGCCCAGCCATTCTCAGGCGAGGCCAGAACTGATTTCCCAGCTTCTGAGGAGCCTGTTCCCTTGAGTGAGGCATTCGTAGCCATCCTGGGTGGAGGCACTGCTCCCGTACCTGCACCAGGTCCATGCCCACGAACCACAGGAAGTTCCGGTGGCGGGCCAGCTGCCGGAGGTACTGGCCCAAGGTGATGCTGCCCGTCTCCTCACCGCCAAGAAGCAGCTCTTCTTCACACAGGCTACAGGGCAGAGGGGAGTCAAGAACGGCCTAGACTGGGCCAGAGGCTTCCCCCACCCGGCAGCCAGCCACCAGCCTGGGGCCCCAGCATGGCAGTCACACCCAGCAGAGTGCCGGCAGGACCCTGGAGAGCCGGAGCTGGCCACTCACCCGCCATCCACAGCCAGGGTTGGGCACCCCGGTTCCCTGCTGGCCGCCTCCACCCGCCACCTCAGCAGCCGTGTGGCCCCCACAAAGCCCAGCCCAGAGCCAGTGGCCAGTGCCAGGCAGAAGGCGCGGAAGGAAGAGAAGTCTTCTTTGTTCCAGAAGGCGTAGGAGGCAAAGACAGACAGGGAGCCGGCCGCACTGAAGAGGGAGCAGCAGAAGTTGAGGTGGGTGCGGCCGTGGGCTGAGAGGGCCAGGTCGGCCAGCAAGGCATGATGGTGCAGGTCCACGAGCGTCAGGAAGCCGTCATAGAGGCACAGGCACAGCAAGAACTGCAGGCCAGCTGGGGCCCAGGGCACCCAGAACGCCAGGAACGACAGCGCCAGCAGCGGCCCATGCCAGCCCAGTGCCCGCACCCGTGCCAGCACCACGGCCCTCGAGGAGAGCCTGGCGCCTGACCTGCCAGGGAGAGGGGTGCTGTTGGGAGATGTCCCTACAGCCTTGGCAGGCCCCAGTTCCCCCTGCCCGGGCCCCACAGGAGGGAACAACAGAGGCCCAGAGCATGGGACTCACACCAGGGTGGTCCCACTGAGCCCTGAGTTCAACCCCTGATTTAGGAAGCACAACTCACCAGTGGGTACACTCTCCCCTCTGCTCTCTTACCAGCCTGCCAGGGCTGACGGCCAAAGGGTGGTGGGATACCCATTTCTCAAGCTTGGGGGCAGTGATGGGCCAAAGCAGGGATGGGCTAAAGAAATCTGCCAGAAGCAGCAGTGTTTGCTGCATGGAGCCCCATCCTGAGGGCCTGATAAGCCAAGCGGGGGTAAATTTCTCCCCGAGCTGAGCAAGGCAGCTGCCAGTCAAGGCCACGTCTTCAAACTGGACAGAGTCTGCCTGACCTTGGGAAAGGAGGAAGCCTGGACAACAGCTGAAAATGGTCTCCCTTTCTTTCCCCACCCCAAACACAGGCAGGGGTCCTCCAGCTCCGGGGAGGGGTAGGTGGGACAGAACCAGTTCTGAGCCATCCTCGGGAAACAAACCGGGGCTGGGAGCTGAGGAACTGACGGTCACTCAGCCAGCCGAACAGGGGGTCATTGAGGCTGTTCCAGAGGAGAAACACCGTCTGTGGGCAGAGGGGAAACGGGCAGGTGGGCTCCAGGCAGCCTCCTCTCCAGGGCTTTCTCCATCCCAGCCTGCTCGCCACCTCTCAAAGATGACCCCAGCTTTCCTTCCTGCAAACCTTTGTTCAGGTCAGTCCCTCTGTTATAACCCATAGCGACTGTCCCATCAAACTCCCACCCATCCAGGGCCCAGCTGATAAATATATGTGAATATATTATAAATGTGCATACATAGAACAGTGCCTGGCTCACAAGACAGAGGCCAGGAGAGCTGGCGTAATCCTCACTGAGGAGTCATCAAGGCCTCCAGCTCCAGCTTTTCTTGCTGAATCTCGGTGGGCAACCCGGCTTGCCCCAAGCTCCTGGCTGGGCAGGATCCAGCCCTGCCATCTGCCTGGCTCCCACCCTGGCTAGCTGCCCCAGCTCTGGCCTACCTCTCCGACCCAGAAGTCAGCTTTGTTGATCTTGTACACTGAGACAAAGGTGTCCACGTAGTAAAGCAGGAACACGTTGTGCAGGACAGAGATGAAGAGGGCCAGGGAGCCATAGACCATGGCCGTGGGCAGGCCCAGCAGCCAGGCCCAGGGCCCACCCAGCCCCATGGCAGCCAGCCCAGCCTCAGCCCCAGGAGTACTGAGGAGCGCTCATGGCCACGGGCAGTCTGGCCATCCTTGTCCCTGGGGAAGAAGAAGCCAGTTAGCTGCAGGTATCAGAGCCACCTGATCTAACCCCAGACCTCTGAGTCATCTCACTGGGAGAAAGTCTGTACCTAAAACAAAACTGGGGAATCGTCAATGATGTCCAGCTAAAACAATGCTGGACTAGATACCACTACTGGAGAGTAACCCAAGGAAACTGATAAAGGCATGGGAAGAGAAGGCAGACAGCCAGCAAGTGCTGAGCCAGGTTGCGTGCTAGAGCGCTACGCTCAGTATCTTCTTTCATCCATACTTTACTCAACCTTAACGGTCCAGACATGACAACCCTGGGCTTGGGCACACACTGTGCCTACAGTGGCACTTCAGGCGAGCTACTTAACCCCAGCCTCAGTTTTCTCTTCTGTAAAAAGGAAAAGTGGATGATCATGGCTACTCAGAGGAATGTAAGGATTAAATGAGGTAACTCACAGAAAGTGCTCAATAAATGGATGTTAGTGATCTCACTGTCATCTTTATAAAATCCCTACAAAGTTTACAGCACTATTACAATATTATAGGAGAGCAACCCCAAGTTCAGAGATGTTAAGTAATTTGCCCAGTGTCGCACAGCAAAAAAGTAGCATATTTGAACCCTGACCTGTCTGGCTCCAAAGGCTTTTCTGCCACTTGACCTCCCAAATTGGGTTCTTATGGACTGCTGGGTAGAATGGAGAAACCTGCTGTGATGGCAGGTTCCATAGGGCTATACAAGTGATAAGATATGATAAGAGTCCACAACTGTTCACGCACTTTGATTCCGGAAATTCCACCTCAAGGAACTAACCCCAAGGGAACAAGTACAGAGCTGTTCATGGCAGCAACATCTATAAACAGCCAAAAGCTGGACACAGCCCAGGAACACAACAAAGGGACTGGCTCAACAAGCCCGATGCTCTCCAGAAAGGCCAAGTACGTGGGCAACCTCAACACAGGGGAGAGAAACTCAAGAACATGTTACATGAAAAGAGAGAACAGAGCTTCCCTGGGGGCGCAGTGGTTGAGAGTCCGTCTGCCAATGCAGGGGATGCGGGTTCGTGCCCCGGTCCAGGAAGATCCCATATGCCGTGGAGCGGCTGGGCCCGTAAGCCATGGCCGCTGGGCCTGCGCGTCCAGAGCCTGTGCTCCGCGACGTGAAGAAGCGACAACAGTGAGAGGCCCGTGTACCGCAAAAAAAAAAAAAAAGAGAGAGAGAGAGAGAACAAAGGACAGGAGTGCCTGCTCCCAACCAGGCCGACCCATGCACAGAGACCAGCAGGCTAGACTGACCATGGATGGAAAAGCAAATAAAAGTCAGATTTTTATTAAAGCAGCGCTTCTCATACTGTAACGTGCTTCCAAGTCACCAGGGGACTTTGTTAAAATGCAGATTTTGCCTCCATAGGCGTGGGGAGGAATCTGAGATTCTGCATTTCTAACAGGCTCCCAGGTGGTACCAATGCTGCTGGTCCATGACCACACTTTAAGCAGCCAGGCATTAAGTCTGTCTGTCTCTTTAGATTCAAAGCTGTTGTTCTCTTTTCAGAAAAATAATCTCATGTGTGCTTGTCTGACCCCCAGAGGGAAGCTATGGGGGCTTCCTTCTCTCAAACTCCCTGTTCTGAGTTGAATGTGCCCAAAAGAGATAAGTTCAAGTCCTAACCCCCAGTATCTGTGAGTGCAACCTTATTTGGAAATAGGATCTTTGCAGATGTAACCAAGTTAAGATGAGGTCATGCTGAGTTAGGGTGGGCCCTAATCCAATGACTGGTATCCTTACAAGGAGAGGGAAATTTGGACACAGAGACAGACACACACAGAGGGAAGACAGCCACGTGAAGATGCAGGCAGAAATTTGACTGATGCATCTACAAGCCAAAGAACACTAAGGATTGCAGACAACCACCAGAAGCTAGGAAGAGGCAAGGAAGGATTCTTTCCTAGAGCCTCCCTCCAGAGGGCACATGACCCTGCTGATGCCTTGATGTTGAATTTCTACCCTACAGGGAACTGTGAGGTTGCCTTAAGCCACTCAGTTTGTGGCAATTTGTTACGGCAGCCCTAAAACTTATACACCTCCTCAGAGGCTTTCTCTTTGAGTCCTCGTGACCCAAGCCTACCCATGGGCTTCATTTACATGTCCGCATGCTTGCACGCACACATGCAGAACAGAAACTTCTGTTTCCCCATCAGAGTCAGGCCCTGGAGAACCGACTTCAGCCCCAGTCCAAATGTGGTGACCCCCCAGGCCCTGTTCTTGCCCCATGAGCAACCATGGCTCCCCTTCCCTGCCCAGCTTTCAAGGGCCTCTGTAGTCTCTGGCCTCTCCCCGCCAGTCCAGCCCAGACTCCCATGGATCTTCAAGCCACCGTCTCCTCTGGCCAGGCCTTTGTTCTTTTTTTTTTTTAAATAAATTTATTTATTTATTTATCCATTTTTGGCTGCATTGGGTCTTCGTTGCTGCGCACAGGTTTTCTCTGTTTGCGGCAAGCGGGGGCTACTCTTCATTGTGGTGTGTGGGCTTCTCGTTGTGGTGGCTTCTCTTGTTGCAGAGCACGGGCTCTAGGCGTGAGGGCTTCAGTAGTTGTGGCATAAGGGCTCAGTAGTTGTGGCTCATGGGCTCTAGAGCGCAGGCTCAGTAGTTGTGGCACACAGGCTTAATTGCTCCACGGCATGTGGGATCTTCCCGGACCAGGGCACGAACCCATCTCCCTTGCATTGGCAGGCGTATTCTTAACCACTGCACCACCAGGGAAGCCCCCAGGCCTTTGTTCTTGATGGTGCCTCCTACCAGAAGCACCCTCCCCATGTCTTCATCTCCATCTCACCCATCCCTCAGGAGCCAGCACCACGTCGAGGAGACCTTCTTCAACTCCTCGGCCCTCACTGGAGCCTCCTGCCCCTGCACAGCACTCTCCTACCTGCCCGCACTCCAGCCTGACTGTGGGGTTCTCCAGCGCAGGGCCTGTGTCTTCGCCCTCTCTCTCCCTCTCAGGACTCAGCCACTCTTGCTACAGGATTGACTAGTAAGAAAGAGGCTCTGCGAGGAGAATAAGGACGGTATCTCATGGGGGTCTCTCTCAGGCTCAATGGAAGCTGAGTGGCAATTCACTCAAGAGATCGGTATGCAGCCCCCCCATTCCCTGTGCCAACCTTGTGCCAGCCCACGCCTAGTGGTGGAGCAATGAGAGAAGGAGGAGTGGCCAAAACTACCTGAAAGCAGCCGCTAAGTCTGTGAGAATCTCTCCCAGGCCATAATGATCCCACCTTGTCCCAGAGCCGGAGGATATCCAAGTGGCCTCTCCCTGGGGGCTTTGAGCCCCTGAAGAAACATTTGGTGGGAAATACTTTTTTTTATCACAGCTTTATTGAGGTACAACTGACATATAATAATCTGCATATCGGGGAGTCCCCTGGTGGCCTAGTGGTTAGGATTCTGGGCTCTCACTGCCATGGCCTGGGTTCAATCCCTGGTTGGGGAAATGAGATCCTGCAAGCTGCACAGCGTGGCCAAAAGAGAAAAAAAAAGACTCCCCTGCCCCCAAATAATAATAATCTGCACATATTCAAAGTGTACAGTCTGATCAGTTTTGGCATAGGTATGCCTGTGAAACTGTCACCACAACTGAGATCAGGAACATATCCATCACCCTTTAAGTTTCCCTGGCACTTTCCAAGTAACATAGAGGAAAGAAGACACAACTGGAGGTCTCCAAAGTCCCAACTCCACCATTTCCTACCCATGTGACCTGAAGCAATTTGCTAAACCTCTCCATGCCTGTTTCCTAACTGCACGATGGGGCCAACCTTCCTAAGGCTAGGGTTAGCAGTCCATGAGAAAATACTCTAACGCAATGAGCACAGGAAGTGCAGCGAGCACCCAAACTTCAGAGATTACTACTATCGAGCCTCCCAGACCCTCCATACCCACCACACAAGGATGGGGTGGGCTAATGTAAAGGTGCTTTGGGGCTGTAAAGCACCATGTACACCTCTGCTACTATCCTTAACCCAGGTCACCTCCTCTGATTCCCCAGGGCCTTTCAGAACTCCCCTCCCTCACCTTGAAAGCCTTTGTCCAAAGGGAGTGAAACCTCCTGGCACCCCTACCCAGATGTCCAGTGGCCTGCCCAGGTTACTGGAGAAGGTGGGCCCTACAGGCAAGGTCCCCAGCCTCCAGCAGCTGGTTCCCTGCACCCACGCTGGGGCAACAGTAGAAGAAAACCTCAAAGTGTGGTGAGATGGAAAACATATGACTTTTGCCATCAGAACGGCCGGGGTTTACATCTCAACTGAACTTTCTACTAACTGTAACTGCAGGCAAGGTCTGAGCTTGTCTGAACCTTGGTTTCCTCACCTGTAAAATGGGAGTAACAGTGCCTATCTTTATAGGAATGCAGGGAGGATAAACTATGTCTAGGAAGCCCAGAGCACCGACAGAAATGTGCTCAGAAACTGGCATTTCCTTGGGCTCACTTATAACAGATCAGGGTAGGAGCAGGGGAATATGCTGGTAATCAGGCCCCTTCCTGTGGTAGGGGAGTTTGAGAGAAAAATCAAGGCACAAGGGGGTAAGTCAGAAGAGGACGGCCTGCAAGGAGCACGGGCCCAGATGATATTCATGAGTACCAGAGACAGATCACTACCATGGACCAGATCTAGAGGCAAAGCAACCTGTCCAGGTAAGCCTCTGCCCGGGAAAGAAAGCTGGGGGAGGAGTATGCAGGGTCACTCCAGATTCCACTCCTCCATCAGGAACTGCTTCCTCTAATAGCCCTCCCCACCCCCACTCCACCCCCACAGAGAACAACAGCCCTGCCTCCCAGGGGAGGAAGGCTTGGGGCCCACCCCAGCCTAGTTGCATAACCTGGCTGAGATAACCTGTAACCTGCAACCAACTCCACCCTCACCTTGGCACCTAGCAGGAGAGCCTGCTGGTGGCCCCAGAGCCCATCTCCCATGCCCCCCACTGGTATGGTCCCAGTTGTGTGGCCTTGAGCCAGCCACTCCCTCTCCCTGGGCCTCAGTTTCCTCATCTATAAAGTGGGGATGACAACGCCAACCTCTTAGATTGCTGTAGGGCTGAAATGCAAAAGATATATAAAACACCAAGCCTAGTGCCTGGCACTGAGAAGACCCTCAATAAAATGTAGCTATTCATGGGCTTCCCTGGTGGCACAGTGGTTAAGAATCCGCCTGCCAATGCAGGAGACACGGGTTCGAGAAGATCCCACACGCCGCAGAGCAACTAAGCCTGTGCACCACAACTGAGCCTGCGCTCTAGAGCCCGTGCTCCACAAGAAGAGAAGCCACCGCAATAAGAAGCCCACGCACCGCAACGAAGAGTAGCCCCAGCTCACCGCAACAAGAGAAAGCCCACGCACAGCAATGAAGACCCAACACAGCTAAAAATAAATAAATAATTTTTTTTTTTTAATGTAGCTATTCTTCTTTTTCATGTCTCTGAAGTTTGACTTTATGATCTTTAAAGACTTGCAGTCAGTGTCCCCTTCTGCCAAATCCATGACTGAAGCTGTCTTTTCAGCACTCAACACTGATGCTTCTCACTGCTTGGTATATCCTGCCATCCATCAAATTCTTTTTTAAATGCCACCTCCAACCTTTGTTCGTGTTGTTCCTTCCACCTACAACACCCTAAATGTAACTACATACCATTTCTCAGACATATAGGATATGCCTGGTTTTTACACCTATCATCATGAATCCTTACAACTCTTTTGTTACTATTTCCATCCTCATCTTGTAAGTGAAGAAACCAAGGCTCTGAAGATTAAATAGCCAGCCCCAAATCACAGAGCTATTAAGTGCTAGAGCCAAAATTCAAAACAGGTGTTTCTGACTAAAAAAAACCCCCAAAACTCAGCATTTCTCACATCACTAGGCCCACACCGCCACCACAATTGTATCAAATCCTGCTGATTCAAGCAAGGCCCAGTTCAGGGGCACATACCTTCCCAAGGGCACCAAGTCAGGTGTTCTCTCCCCTTTTCAGGTCCCTTGGCTCTGTATCAGGATCCAAATGTCTCCCTAACCCTTCTCCAGCCCCCAAGCTCCTTAAAGGCAGGGCCAGGTCAGACCTGCCCCTGATCTGGACTCCCAGCTTCCACCAGGCTCCTTCACCACACAGTAAGTGCTCAATTAATACCTGCTGGGTCAATTTGCCCCTAAAAGGCCAATATGGACATCCGCAGCCCAACGGGAGAGCAGCAGCCATAGGAGGAGTGTCCTCCCCAGATCCCACTGTGCCCCTCAGCTCTGCATTCTGCTTGGCTGTGGGAGTCAAAAAGAGGCAACCTGGGGAACCCTAATGTGAAACATGGACAGCAAGGCAACAGGTGAGGCAACAAAGAGGAACAGTGATAATTACAAAATGTAACACTTATTAAGCTTTCACCCGTGTGCTAAGGAAAATTGATACAATATGGGAAGAGAGCTCAGAGCAAAGTGACACCAGATCAGGAAGGGCTTTGGAAACCACAACAAGATCCTATCCTGAGGACAATAGGATGGGGGGCACTGGGAGTGGCCAGGTGACAGAATCAGATGTTTAGAAGGAGCCCCCAGCATCATGTAAAAACTCTCCCCTCCTCACCCCATCAGGCTTCTGGGAGATAAAGAACCAGAAAATGATAGAAACAGTAGCAGCTCCCTGGTTTCTGAAGCAGCCTGTGGTGAGTAGGGGGCTGATGAATTTGGTAGAGGAAACCAAGAATGACAGACTGGGCCCCTGGGGTGAGAGGCTTCAGAAAGAGGGTGGGTGTTAGCTTCTGATTCCCTTCAGAAGGACTAGAGACTGTATGAGAAGCTATTAGTATAGCTATTAGAGGGAAAAACTCTACTAATAAGCATAATTTGGAGTTGGGAGCCCTGGGTCAAGTTTGAACCTTATCACTAACTAGCTCTCAGAGTTTATTCCTACATCTGCAAAGCGGGAGAAAATTCCATTCCCTGCCTGTCCCAGGGGTATCAAATGAATTTGAAAAGTATTATACCCTGAGCAAATTTTAGGTGTGTCCTTTTTTCAACAAGCAGGTGACCTCTGAATTGTCTTCTGTGTTTCCTGTTTCATACCCCCTTTGTCTCCCTGCTCAGTCTCCCCACAGCAGGACCAGCCCTCGCAGGGCTGTTGGGGACGCCCAACCCTGGAGGGGTGCCCACTTTCCATGCAGTGACTAATGGGCCCATCCTCCTCCTCAGGCTGGAAACAAACTTCACCCTACTGGGGGAGGGACCTTCTCCCTGTCCCTCCCTGCTCCGCAGGTTACTACAGCAGCACGGGAGGATCAGCAACTTCACCTCAGGACCATACACCCCTCGCAAGTCACAGAGGAGTCTGGGAACAACCCAGGAGTTCCGTACTCAATAGCTGGCGCTGAACCATGTGGTGGTTCTCCAGCCTGTCTGCACATTAAAGTCACCTGAGGAGCTGCTCAATAACACCAAAGCCCAAGCCTCACCCCTGACCAATTAAATCGTAATTTCTAAGGATGGGGCCCAGCATCGGGGTTCTTTTAAAGCTCCCCAATTGGTTCTACAACGCCACCAGGATTAAAAGCCATTATGTTAATGAAATAGATCCCGGCCTGATGCATCATGCGACCCCAGGGAGTCCCTCTGCAAGAATTCCATCCTCACCCCTTGAGCCCAAGCTTCTCCCACCCTGCCCCGAGGCACTCTCTCAACCCACAACCAGATCACTTCAGGGACTCCCACAGACAGCCCCCAGGACTCCCAGAGCAGACAGCATTCCTGTACCCTTCGGGTGTGTCCTTTGTGACCGACTGGCCCCCACTCCGGCCCGCTCCTGCCCCCAAGACCCGGCCGCGAGCCAGCCCCTCACCGAAATTGTGGCAGGGGGGG